CTGTATGCAGCACTGCTGGGGGGGGTTTCACCAGAGCAGAGTAGACGGGCAGAATCCCCTCCCTCGACCTGCTGGTCACACTTCTTAAATCACCCTACTTTCTCTTCTCAAACCAAATAGCATTCTAGTCACAAAGCACAAGACACTGGAAAACATACAGGAATTGCTAGAGGTGTCCAAAGACCTATCAATATCCCAACAATCTTCAAATTGGGGGGGTTAGAGGAAATTGTCGTAACTAGATAGATGTTTCACTACTATTTCTAAGAAAATACACCATTTAAAATATTACATAGAATTTTTACAAAAATTTCTCAAGCACCATTTTAAGCATAACAGTCAGTAAAAAGCTTCTTTACGTTTCTTTACTCCTTCAAAACTTTTAGTTTAAACTTATCTTTATCCACTTGGTTAAATCAACCAGTTTACAGATCATAATTAAAGAACTTTGATAAATACAAACTTTTTTACAAATAGGCTAAGAAATTGAAAATTTCTGCAATATATTATTCTGAACAAAATAATTTCCAATGGAAAAACAGGACAAAAAAAATCTCTAATTACTCAGCAGAACCATTATTTTTATTGATAGCTAGTCATTTCTCTGTGGGGACACTTCAATATCCTCATCAGCTACAAGGAAATGCAAGAGAATCTTTGTCCTCAGTTGAAATAGTCTGCTAGGCACAAAATAACAGTTACTAAAATTGCTTAAGTCTGAACATTTTTCAGACCCAATTCTAGCTGAATGGAACTGCCAGAACAGCATTCAAGAGTGGTTCCTATCCTAGTCCTCAATTTGGAACACAACACAGGCTAACCTTTGAAAGTAAGACTTCACATCTTTCATTTGTGAAGAGAAAAAGGAGCCATGACTTTTGGTAAATACCTCTGGACCGTTACAGGGGTTACATCCTATTTTGAGGACGTGAAGATATAGTTCCAGACTAGTAAGTCAGACTCAGATGCAGACTTCCTCTTCGGGATGTGATTTGCAGCAAGGTTTTCCAGCAGTACACTCACCACGGTGTCATCTGTGCCACTGCTAACACTGCCTTCCACAAACTCAGGAGAGTTGGCAACACTTTCCTGAACGTGCAGAACAAACTTTGTAGAACTAAGGAGGATGCTGGAAAGCTGAAAGAGATTTTACCTGCGTTCTTAATTAAGATACTCTGTTGATAGGTACGGAACAGAGAAAAGGAGTCAGAAGAACCCAACCAAAGGGAGAGAATTAGTTTCACGTGGTGCTATGAGAAAAGGATAACCAAGTATGAATGTTTTAAAAGAACTGTATTAATCTCTTTGATGCACGACCTGCATTTTTAGTCATCTTCATGTTAATCAGTTAATGCGAGTATCCAGTTTCTCTTTTGGGCAAGAGAAAGATATAGAGACTTTTTTTTACTTTTTATAAAAATGTTCATTTAATATTTAATAGGAGATATGGATATTAGATATTAAATTTCATTACTTTTGTCTCGAAAATCATTTGTACTTAAATTCAGGATGAAACCCTAATCTCTCTTTTCTTCTTTAATGAATTTTACATTAGTCTTAGAAGTGAATCTTACATTAAGAACTTTTTCTAACATGGTCATTCAACAGAACTAGTAGCTTCCATCATCCGTTTCCATACTGCAGTATTCAATAAGCTACATGGTAAAGCAATACAAAAATGAAAACCAGTTTAGCAATCAGAAGACAGTACGACAGCACGGAAAAAGCTACAGATTTCACTATGGCCTCATTTTAAAGCTCAACTGACAAAGCAGCGATGCCTGTAATTACGTAACTTATACAATACCTGAAACCTATTGTCTGTGATGCTTTCAACTTCACCGCCATCAGTGATAACCTTAAGGAACTTGCTTATTTATTAAAACCTTCATTTTAACATCAAAGTATACATGTGTACTGTTGTAAGGAAAAGTATTTTTAATTATCTGAATTGCTTTAAATATGCTTTGAAGTTGAATGAACAAATTTGTATTTTAACCACAGAAGCCTGAAAATGAAATCTTTCATTTTTTCTTTTTAAAGCAAAAATCAGACTTTTCTTTTACACTAATGGGGAAAAAAAACAACAACTAAGCAAAGAAACTATTTACAGCTTCGAATGTTACGTTACAATTACTATTCCACAAAATTTGCGCAGCACAAACTTTACCTCAATCAATTTTCTTTCGTAAGAGCTGGCTAGTTCCTCATTGTTTTCGACTTGCTTTTGCTCTGGTATAGTAAATTCACCATCAGTGCTCCAAATGTTTGGCAGAACTACAACAAAGAGATACCTCAAATTAAACTGTTAAATTACATAAACTTCTAGGACATCCTGTTTGGAAGTAACAGCTCTAAAAGAAAGAGTTATTAGAAGTATCAAAATAGGATGTACTATTAAACAGTATTACAAGTACTAAAATAGAAATGCAGCAGGGAGCTTTCTTGCCAGCAATATTTAGACAGGTACTCTCAACAGAAAAAAAAATGCCAACTAAAAGCATTTTGCTGTTCTGTGACCACAGCTATCTAATATACGTAGGTAGTAACTGCAATTCCTACTCAAAGCCTTTGAAAACTAAGCCTATGCTCCACTTTCAAGTCTTTTTTTTTCTAATTCTCTTCCAAAATATCATTTCCTATTACTTGCACAGACTACTTACATATGATAGAAACTGCAGAAAATAGGGCTGAGAATGGACATTCCATACTTCGTCTAGTATTTCATGGGTTTGCATAAAGCAGAATCAGCTGTAGTTATTTCATTCCTGACAGTTAATTGTCTAATTTGTTCCTAGAAATCTCCGATAATAGATATTTCATGCTTCCTTGTACAATCTATTTAAATTTAAATATTCTTCTCAGACAGGTTTTCTGGATAGCTAATCAAACTTCCTTCACCTGCCATTTAAGCCCATTACATCTTTTCTTACCCACAGTGAATGAAAACTACAGTTTATTCTATTCCTCTTCCTAGCTATCATTGGTATATTTGATGATCACTGTGAGGCCTATTCTAAGTCAGTCTGCTCCTCTCCAAGTTACACAAAAATTCAACTTTTCCTCACAGGTCATGAATTTCTAAAAAACCCAAACAAGTTAGCACATATAAAGTAAACAAGCCCTAACAATAACAAATGCTTTCACCATTTTTCAAAATCTAAACTATACATACAGCCACTATAAGGTAGATAGACAAGACCAGAATTCATCTGACTAAATACTCTTGAGCCTGGGAACTGATTTTTGCTTCGAGGACAAATATATACATTCAGAAGTTTATTATATTTTAAGTGAATTTTGAAAGCTATTTTAAGAGCTACTTCTTGTAAATCTTGGTTGAAGTTCTTCAGCCAGAAACTTCTAAGATCAGAATTTTCATATACATAATATTATTGTATCTAAGTAGGTTTGAAAAGTGGTACGCATCCAACTCCTGCTGATGGCTGAGAAATCAGGATGCTCATTTACTAAATATTTAAATACCAATATCAAACTGCTCAGTCCATGGCACTGATCACTCATTTTGAAAGCTGGTATGATATTCTGATCTTGACGCAGTTCTGACTCTTGGGCAATTTATTTATAATCATATTTGCTGAGGGGTTTTTCTGTTTTTAAGTCACCGCAAGGCAAAGCATTAAGCTGAGTTTCATTTATTATTTTAGGAAACTATTTAAAAAGCCATACTCAATAGCATCTGATCTGGTTATGGTAGCAAACATGTAGATTCTTCTCTATTTATAGAGCAGAAGCTCAACTTATTTTGACTTTCAAAATAGTTTCACAGAAAGTCTAAACACATAGTGTTCTAAAATCTACAATACATTTAAGACTTTTGTTACCATTTGGAAGAAGATTAATCATCATTGGAATTGCTCATTATGATAGCATAGGGCAGCAGTGAAATTAGTTGTATGCAACAGTTTATGCCTCCCTGATGAAGACAATTTCCTACTATTCCAGCAAAAGGACAGCTAGGAGTTTTCCAAGTTTAAACAGATCAGAACTCAAGGGTCCCTGTCTATGTGTAAGGCTAGTCAGAAGCCAAGAACCTGAACCTATCAGTGTGTAAATTAATGTATAAGAAACAAACAAGAATTTTAACTTAAGATGACAAAAGCAGAAAGAGCAGTAGTTTCTCCATCCTATTTTCTTCACAACACTGTCACAATCTCAGAACACAGTAAGAAAACAGCTCTTGTAAATACACTCTGTAATCCTTTTAAGCATGTAAGCTAATTAAGAACAAGATGACTTAAGACAAATTGTTACAGACACTTTAAGTTATACCACAATTGGAATTCAGTAATTGGCCTTAAGTTACACAATGATATATGTACTGAAAAGTACAAATACATCTTTCTAATATTGCTAATATTCTTCATTAGGAAGACTCGCATCTGAAAAATATGAATGCCAATGATGAGATACTGCAACTTATGTATATAAACCATGGGTGCAATAGTTTCTATAAATTTGGTAAAAGAAGAAACTTTTTTTTGTTTCACACTCCTCTTTTGAAGTGTATCTAAACATATTAGTTTTCAGGGACTATTTACATGCTTAAGTACTTTTTTGAGTCAGAGGCCCCAGTACTACTAAAAATTTCCATACATCTCCAATGGCAGCTAAGAAAAAAATGGTTTATAAAAAATACAGTGTGTGAAGTTAGAATATAAGAAAAGTTATTACAAATAGTGCACAAAGCTGAAATTTATTCTGGTCACTAATGATAACGGCGGATTGATTAAATATCCTTTGAGCATAAAGCATATATGTATTCATTTTTAGAAATGTTGGTACTGTTCCATCTCCCTTTTTCGCCTATAAAATCTGACCATCCTACTCAGTTTCTATTCTTATCACTAACTAATTTGCATAATTTTAACATGGCAGAATATAGCTAGCCTAGGAATTTTTTTTTTCCTTTTCCTATAATTACACTCATCATGGAAACTGTCAGTATCTAATGAAGGATAATTTCTGCTATTATAAGAAGCTTAAGCGATGGTTTTCGTGAATAATTCTTAATATGAATCACTACACTCCAGCAAAGTCGGAAGTAAAAACATGTGTTCTCACTAACAAAAATCCTTTTAAGGATGAATGAAATTTTTAAACTACAGATAAGTATAGTGACTAGCCCTTCAGAGCAGAGTTAATGTAGTATTCATTCATATAGCCACTTATATGACCACAATATTGACAATTTAAAAAAAAAAAAAAAAAAAAGACAGATGGTGCCAATTTCTGAAAAGCCACCTCGTCTCTCAAACACCTTCTGTAGTCAGTGGAAGTACAGGACCCACCAGAAGATGATTCAGACTCAAGACTCCAATTCGTCCTGGCAGGTAACGCTACTGATAACTCATTAGCTCTCAGATATAAAACCTGCTCAGTAGAGTCAGGGCGACTGAGCAAAGAAAAAAGAAAGTGAAATGCCTGGTCTTAATACACAGTCTATTTGAAACAGCCTGCAAATACTCTCTCCAAACCAACAGTAACAGTATAATCTAGAGACACAAAATTTTCTCTCCTCAAAATAATTATTCTTGTGTTCCCATAACACATTAATTCACTGATTGTTTTTTAAATTAAATTTTCACCCAATCACTTTTTCTGGAAAGTTTCGTATTGAAAAAAGTAAGACCACCTCATCTACCAGAAAACACTCTGTAAAAGTAAGTACAAAAATCTACATTGGTATTTTTCTCAAAGGAAAAGATAACCAATATGTTATTTTCACTATGGGGAGATATGACTGTACCATGGTTGGAAGGGATGAACAGGGCTTTTAATAATCTCTTGCTAACCCCACTTCCATGTCAATGATTTCCTTGGTTTTGGTGAAGACTCAGCAAGAAAGGCAGACTTCTCGATTGTTTCCACTCAGCAGTAATTTGCTAGTATGCCATCACATAGCAATCTGCATCACAAGACAGTTCAGGTAATGGCAAACGGCCCAGCCAGCGATGCATCAGGGACAGTTCTCACAGAAACAGAGCTGTCATCTCTTCAGACGCTGTTCCCAACAGGCTGCTGGCACACGAGGCAGCCTGTGGAAGCGGGTTTTTTTCCCCTCTTCATTTCATCCTTACCTTCCACTGTCTGGCCTTCTCTTCTGAGCATCTGGACAGCTCCAACATACTTCTTAAGTTGCACTTTTAGCACCTCATTCTCTCTGTTGATAAAGAGAGCAGAATAAATAAATAGTATTGTTTTCTCAAAATAGAGGAAAACAGCTTTCAATGGAAACAAACATACCAGCTGTAATAATAACCTTTATCTAAGTTGTGTCATCAAGGTGAAAAGAAATAATGACTTACACAGTAAAGTAATACATCAACAGCAGAGTACCAGGAAAACTTGTGCTCCAGGGCCACATAAACACATCAGTGAAACAGATTAGATCATAATCAAAAACTTTTCATTGTTTAATTCAGATTTTCTATACTATTTTACATTGATGGCAGAAAAAAGATACAGTCTATCTAAATCAACAGTCGATTAAAAAAAATAAGGATGGGATACTAGACAAGGAAATTCAGAATGGCCAATATAAAATTAGATAATCGTTTTACTAGTTGTCCAAGTATTTAATGTCAAGCAAACAAGAATTCAGCTTTAGAAACAGACTTTATTGCTGTAAGAACATGTCAGCAATTCAGCAACAATATTCAAGGTAAAAGTTTTCCACATAGCACTCCTAAATGAAAACCATAAGAGAAGAAATTAAGCTAATCCCTTCAACCTGTATTTCAGTGCCTGTCTCATGTTTCTTGGAAAGTACAAATATTCAAACAAGGTACTACCATAGCTCCACCTAACAACATTAAGCACCTTAGTTTATATTTGGGGAGAAATAACAAGGATTCCAACCTAATGAATTTTAAACAACGCTGACAAATCGCATGTCTGAAAATTCAATTATCTGTCTAAGCCCATTCAGTTAGCCAAGTATGACAGAAGCATTTACACAGAAGAAAAATAACTAAAATATGTTGCAAGAGAGGGAATTCAGACAACTTATAGTCTTCTTTAAGGAAACAGCAAGGTAGAAATACGTAAGTGCCACAGGTGCAGCACATAACATCACACACACGAGAAACCTGCAGCTGGTTAGAGAGAAGCGAGAACACGGGCAGGTCAAAATCATGCCAGAGGAGTGGTACAAGCTCCAGGAATGCTGCAACCCTTGACATGTAACTGGTTACAGAAAGCTGGAAACAGATCATACACAAAAAGATAGACATTCTATTAACGGGAATTTATTTAAGACTGAGAAGTATTCAGAAACACATGCAAATATGTTTGATGGTCATTATCACACTATATATACACACACACACACACATATATACGCATACACATATAAAAATAAACTGCTGTTGCGAGCAATGCCATATTTATATATAGAAACCCCAGACTGGTATGATATTCATATTTCTGTGGATTTCAAATCAGTTTTCTGAACTATGTAACCTCAATTTTATTCAGTCCTTTAGTAGGAGGTTGCTAAATAATTGAGAAGAAACTATTGGATTACCCAACTATCAAATTTTAACAAAGTCCTCTCCTATGGAGACAGGCTGAGAGAGTTGGGGTTGTTCAGCCTGGAGAAGAGAAGGCTGCGGGGAGACCTTAGAGCCCCTTCCAGTCCCTGCAGGGGCTCCAGGAAAGCTGGAGAGGGGCTGGTGACAAGGGCAGGGAGTGACAGGACAAGGGGAATGGCCTGAAGCTGCAGGAGGGGAGATGGAGATGGGATGTGAGGCAGCAATCCTTCCCTGTGAGGGTGCTGAGGCCCTGGCACAGGGTGCCCAGAGAAGCTGTGGCTGCCCCTGGCTCCCTGGCAGTGTTCAAGGCCAGGTTGGATGGGGCTTTGGGCAACCTGGGCTAGTGGAGGGTGTCCCTGCCCATGGCAGGGGTGGGACTGGGTGGGCTGTGAGGTCCCTGCCCACCCAAACCCGTCTGGGATTCTAAGAATTTTATGATATTTTTCATTTCCTAGACTACAAAGAACAAGTCCGTTTTTCCACTAGTGACGGATGCTGATATTCAGATTAAGGTGAAAAAACACTCCATCAGAAACACAGTTTAATGCCATATATTATATTAAACTAAGCCCAAATAATTCATTCATGGAAAAAAAATTGTGACAGCTAGATGAAAAGATTTCTGACCAGAAGTGTAAATACGTCTGCATGGAAATAACTGTACACAATTAGAATATATTGAGTTTTAAGGATTCTCATGTAATAATCATATACCATCTTGTTTCTGTATTTGAGAACAGACCCAGTGCCTTCTGTCTGTACTGAGACAGCGTCAAAAAAATAAAAATCTATTTTTTACTACTGTGCCTATCAACTTAAAATTGATACAGTACAGATGAACTTCAGGAAGACTTTAATTCACTTAAGGTTTTTGATACAAGACTGAAATTCAAAGCAGGATACTATGGCCTAGTCACAATTTTCTAATATGCCTCTATCATCTTCTTTCTCATCCTTTGACATCTCTTTCTCATTACTACTGTTTAGCTAGATTCCAAAGAGGGCCCATCCTGATATATATGAATTTATGCAGCCTTTATCAGAGTATGTTAAAAAAAAAAAATTAGCAACCACTCACTAAAAAGGTTTTAATGACTGCAAGAGGCATTCTATCAGCTATTTTATAGGAGGAGAAGCTCCTGTATAGGAGGGTCAGATTTGCAGAAATTCTTGCCCAGCTGACTCAACAGTACTACCTAGTGTCAGGCTGTTAAATACTTCTATGTGAAGGCCCCAGCTTTACTTCTGCAACTTTTCCAAACTTCACCATCTAACCTGAAGCAAACTTGTTAGCCTGTTATGAGGCTCATGATAAACACAATGCTTTCAGCATCTTTTGAAGAGCTCCAAATGATTCCATATTCTGTGCTGAAGAATAAGTGACAAGACTGAAAGAACAAGTTGAAGGGGATACAGAAAAAGAAGAAAGAAAAAAAAAATCAGGCTGAAATACATGGGAAAACAAAGCCAGAGAACTGTGCCACTAAAAGCACACCCATCTCCAAAACCTCAATTATAACAAATTTCCCTGCCTGATCACTTCTCCCATGTTAGTAAGCGGCTGACAGAGTGATAATATGTCATTTCACCCTGTATCAGCTCAATGATAGAGGATGACAAACCAGTATTCCTACAAATGATGCTTCTTGCTCAAACGGCACAGGTCCAGCATGTGTTGTTGATTAAGCTTTATGTCTTTCGTTGGTGATTACTCATGCAGAACAATGATACAAGACGCACTTTTCCTTGGTTGATTATAAAAACAGAAAACTGCACATTAAGAGCCACACTGAAAAAAATACTAAGGTTTGAAATCCAATCACCGAAAAAAAAAAAAAGGGGGGGGGGGGGTTTACAACAATCTCAGGAGACAAGA